GGGCTGGAGGGTGGAGGGCGGGGCTGGGCGGGCTCCCAGGCCCCACCTGGTGCATGATCTTGGTGAAGGCTTCCTGCAGTTTGCCGTGCACTGCCGCCAGCTTCTTGTAGTCACGGTGGGCTTCCAGGATGGGGATAAGGTTCTTATAGACCTCGTTCACTGCCTCATACAGCCCGCCCTGGAGGTGGGGACGAGGGGGGTCAGGGTCCCCCAAACCCTCTCTCCTGCCTGGAATACCCTCCCTGCCTGTGTTCCTCCTGTCCATCAATCTTGTTCTCCAAGAACATACACTGTGTGTTTCCAGGCAGATTCAGGGATTCGAACCCACGGCTGGCCATGCGGCTGCTAGCATGGCCGTCCAGTATGCTGTGGGCTGTGGCTCCTTGGCTGGGCCTGCACTGTTCCATAATGACTTTTTTTTAAGAGACGTTTTTGCTATAGGGCACATGCACTCAACAGACAGAAAGCAAGAAATCACCCCCGGGCGGGATGGCCATGCCTTCTCCTCCATTCTCCTCTGGGGATCTTGGGCACGCACGCATGCGCCTGGCATGAGTTTCAAGCCGCCTAATCTGGAACTCAAATAGTTGCCATTTGGGAATCCAGCGGTGCAACCACTACGCCACCTGCTGGTCCCCATGATTAAAAAATTTAAGGCCAGCCCGTAGCCTGGTGGTTGAGGCAACTGGATGCCACAAGGACGACTGAGTGGTTCGAGTCCCGAACCCTGCAGCTGGAGAAACACCGTGTGCGTGTGCGTGCATACCCCAAGTCCCAAGAGGACGAATGGAGAAGGGATTGCAGCCCGGCCATCACCCTTGTGGCGGTTTCTCATTTTCCATCTTCTTTCTCTGTCTCTCCAGAAGTGCAAGTACCCCCTGGCAAAATTTTAAAAAATTTTTTTTAAAATTTTGATTTTTAGACATTTTTTGCGATAGGGTGTGTGTGCTCGCTGCAGAGACAGAGACAGAAAGTGAGAAATCATTCAGTACAGAGGATGGCCATGCCTTAATCTCTTCTCCTCCGTTCTCTTCTTGGGATTTTGGGCATGCATGCACACGCGCCCAGTATGTGTTTTAAGCTGCCAGGTCTGGGACTCAAACCATGGTCGACCCCATGGGAGTCCAGTGCCTTAACCACTATACCATCTGCTGTTTGTTTGTTTTAAATATGTCACTAAGGGGCTGGCAGGTGGCCTGGTGGTTAGGGTGCCAAACTCCCACATGTGCAGCTGAGTCCCGGAGCTGGTTGCTTGCTTTCTCACTTTCTCTCTCTCTGGCCAGATACTTTTAAAAAAATAATTATTTATTTAATTTAACTTATTCATTCATTTATTTTCATATGACTCGAGAGAGAGACACACACAAAGAGAGAGAGAGAGAGAGAGACAGAGCCAAGGTTTGGATGGGAGAGAAGTAGGTCACGGGTCTGGGAATGCACCTGGCCAGAGTTTAAGCCACCGGGTCTGGGACTCAAACCGTGGTCGACCCCATGGGAGTCCAGTGCCTTAACCACTATACCATCTGCTGTTTGTTTGTTTTAAATATGTCACTAAGGGGCTGGCAGGTGGCCTGGTGGTTAGGGTGCCAAACTCCCACATGGCCGACTGCAGCTGAGTCCCGGAGCTGGTGGCTTGCTTTCTCACTTTCTCTCTCTCTGGCCAGATACTTTTAAAAAAATAATTATTTATTTAATTTAACTTATTCATTCATTTATTTTCATATGACTCGAGAGAGAGACACACACAAAGAGAGAGAGAGAGAGAGAGACAGAGCCAAGGTTTGGATGGGAGAGAAGTAGGTCACGGGTCTGGGAGGCTCCCAGTTTTCTTGCCTTTTTTTTTTTTAATTATTTTATTTAACTTTATTTATTTATTTATTTAAACATGACCAGATAGGGACAGAGAGAGAAAGGGAGAAAAGAAGCCGCCAGGTCTGGGACTCGAACTAGGGTCGGCCATGTGGGAGTCCAGCGCCCTTAACCAGGATGCAACCTGCTGGCCCCAGTTTTCCTGCCTTCTAACTCCTCAGCCTGCAAGGGGTCCCCGCGGCAGACCTGGTGACGCCTCCCTGAGCCCGGTCCCAACGTGGGCCCCAGGCCTCACCATGGTGAAGTAGGCGGCCGCCTGCTCCAGCAGCCCCACCAGCCCCAGCTCCGTGAAGTGCTTCCCAGAGCAGAAGCCCTCCTCGTCGGGCGACAGGATGTCGTCGGAGATGGCCGACTCCTCCAGCACGTTGGACGAGATGTTCTGGGTCAGAGAGACGGGGCGTCAGGCCGCGCCTGCCCCGCGGGCCACCCCTGCCGACCGCTCCCCGCCGCTCACCTGGAAGGAGACGCAGCCCACGGGCAAGTGGCGGCTGTCCTCCAGCAGGGCCAGGTACTCGGCCACCAGGGCGGCCGCGTGCACCATGCACTGCGCGGCCTCGGCGTGGTTGCCCAGCTCGGCGTGCTTCCCGGCCATGTTCTGCAGCCACGTCAGGCGTAGGTCTGGGGAGCCCTGGTAGCCCCGGGCAATTCTGGGGTCCAGGTGGGGGGTGAGGACGGACCGTACCTGGTCCTCCCCACAGCGATACCCCGTCTGTCCCACTGCTCGGGGAATCTCCCGTGTCCACTCTGCACCTGTCTCCCTACCTGTCCCTTCACCTGTCCATTCCTCACCTGCCCACTCCTTCACCGACTCCCCTCCCTGCCCAACCCTTTACCTGGCTTCCACTCACCTGCCTTGTCACCAGTTTATCCCCTCACCTGTCCATTCCCTTGCCTGTTCGCCTCCTCCCATCTCACCTGTCCATCTCCTCCCCCTTCCTCTATTCTCCTGACTCTGCTTCCCAAGTCCCCACCTGTTGTCCTGTGGAACCCAAGTCCCTGGGGCTCACTGCTGTCTTTCCTCATGCTCCATGTCACCTGTCCACTCACCTGTCTCCCGTAGGCCTCTGCCTTCCTTACCTCCATCACCTCCACCCACCCCAACTCCTCGATGTCTTACTAAATATCCCCCACCTTTCCTCCAGACTGCCTGTCCCCCAGATCTCCCACTCGATCTGTTAGCTCCTCACCTGTCTCCTCACCTGTCATCCTCATGTTACGTTCATGTGGCCTCCTTTCTACCTGTCTGTTCATCTGCTCTTCCTTTCCCTCCCTCTCTTGTCTGCTCACCTGTCTGCTTACCATCTGCACACCTGTCTGCTCACCTGTCTGCTCACTGCCTGCACACCTGTCTACTCACCTGTCTGTACACCTGCCTGCTCTCCTATCTGCTCACCTGTCCACTCACCTGTCTGCACAGCTGTCTGCTCACTGCCTGCACACCTGTCTGCTCACCTGTCCGCACTATCTGCACATCTGTCTGCACACCCAACTGCTCATCTGTCTGCTCCCCATCTGCACCTGTCTGCCCACCTAGCCCCTCGATGCCTGTCCCTCCGTACCTCCTCATCCCTCACCTGTCAGTGCCTGGGCGTGGCTGCAGCCCCCTGGCCCGCTCACCTGTACATGAGGTCGATGAGCATCTCAGGGTCCTTCTGGTGCTCCTTCATCTTCACGGTGTCCGTCAGGATCATGTGCAAGTTGAACATCAGATCCTGGACCTGCAGCCGGGGATGTTGGGGCCAATGAGGGCATCGGAGAGTGACAGGGCTGGGGGGCAGGGCCAGACTGCCCGGGACGGGGCGGGGGGCCCTGGGGGGGTCACCTGCTCGGCAAAGGTGCTGTCTCGCAGCCCCATGTCCTCCTCGGCATAGGTGAGGATGGTCTTGAGTGACCGTCGCAGGTGCTCTTCGCTGAAGTTCTGGGTGGTCCCCACCAGGGATGAGAGTGACATGGTCACCTGCATCTTCACGCGGGCAAAGTTCTGCAGGAGTGAAGGAGGGAGAGTGGCTACGGGAGGCTCGGACTGGAGAGCCTCACCCCTGCTCAGCTGCCGACGTGCCCACTGCATCCTGCCTTTGGTAGTTTTATTTAGTAATTTTTTTTGTATTTTTGTTTTTTTTCGTTTTCCTATAGGTCACGTGTGCTCAGCCGAGAGAGAGAGAGAAGAGAGGGAGAGAAAGAGAGAAGTCAGCCCCTCCCGAGGGGACGGCCACACTGCAATCTCTTCTCCATATTCCTTTTGGGATTTTGCACATGCACACACATCCTCCCGAAGTGAGTTGTTAGGGTTTTTTTTGGAGAGGTTTTCGCTATAGGGTGCGTGCGCTCACCAGACAGACAGAGAGAGACAGAGACAGAAAGCGAGAAATCACCCCCCAGGGGGGATGGTCACACCACGATCCCTTCTCCTCCATTCTCTTCTTGGGATCTTGGGCACACACGCACACACACCCAGTATGAGTTTAAGCCACCGGGTCCAGGACTAGAACCGCAGTTGACTACATGGGAGTCCAGTGACATTGCCGTTACGCTAACTGCTGGTCCCACTAAAGTGAGTTTTTAAGCCACTGGGTCTGAGACTTGAACTGCACTTGACTACGTGGGGGTCCAGCAATGAAACCATTATATCATATTCTGGTCCCAACACGGTGTGGTTTTCAAACTGCCATATCCGGGACTCGAACCTTGGAGTTGGCCATGTGGGATCCAGCACCTTAACCTCCATGCTCTCTGCTGGCCCCAGGGAGCCTGCCTGGGCATTCTGTCCCTGGGTCCTGCCCTTAAACTCAGTGATGACCTCTCCACCCCCTCCCTCCATTGCACTGGCCCTCCCGACAAGAC